CTTGGGCCTCTCCGGGGAGCCACCTCTCTGGTCAGCTTGGACTCTGCTGGGCTGCTGGATCACAGGGCGGTACCACAGGGTGTGTGGTCTCTGCTGAGCTTCCACCTCCTGTGCTGGACTTCTCCCTGTTCCGTGTGCTCTAGGCCGGTCTTGGGATGGAGCCGGGTGGCGGCGGCAAAGCCTACCTGCTGCTGAATCATGCAGCGGTGGCCCCCCCACAGGGTGTGTGGACTCTATGGAGCTTGTATCTCCCTTGCTGGACGTCTCCGTGCTCCGTACGCATTGGGCCGGGCTGCTGGATTGCGCGGCAGCAGTGTGGTCCCCGTGGAGTTCCTGCCTCCCCTGCCAGATGTCTCCCTGCTTCGAGGGCACAAGGCCAGGCTGGGAATGGAGCCAGGTGCCTGCGGTGAAGCCTACCTGCTGGATCACGCAGTGGTGGCCCCACGGGGTGTGTGGTTTCTTTTTTTTTTTTCTTATAGATGACCTGTAAGGGGATCTTAACCCTTGACTTGGTGTTGTCAGCACCACGCTCAGCCAGTGAGCAAACCAGCCATCCCTATATGGTATCCGAACCTGGGGCCTTGGTGTTATCAGCACCACACTCCCCCAAGTGAGCCATGGGCCGGCCCAGGGTGTGTGGTTTCTGCGGAGCCTCCGCCTCCCTTGCCAGATGTCTCCCCACTCTGTGCGAATGGAGCCGGGTGGCGGCGGTGAGGCCTATCTGCCGGATTGTGTGACGGCGGCCCCGCAGGGCATGTGGTCTCTGTGGAGCTTCTGCCTCCTCCACTGGACGTCTCCCTGTTCCATATGCACTTGATGTTATGTTTTTATAGTTTAAATCGTTTGATTTGTGGGAGAGAGTGACGCTAGGGACCATCTATTCCGCCATCTTGACTGGAAGCCCCTGCATTGAATCTCTATTTTTATTTTTTTAGGCTGGCTGGTATAGGGATCAATCCCTGAAGGTTGGTGTTATCAGCAGCACCATACTCTAACCATCTGAGCTAACTGGCCACCCCCCTGAACTGAATCTTTTTAAGATGAGTAGGAGGTTTTGGTGAAGTTCTATTCCTTAAACTGTGGGTTGGGTACCTCAGTGCTTTTATTATTTACGACATACGTATACATTAAACGTAGTCTTTTTTTTTTTTTTTTTTGGTGGCTGACAGGTACTGGGATCTGAACCCTTGACCTTTGTGTCACTAACTGTATTCTTATATGTGTAAAATATCTCACAATTAAAAGGTAAATAAATATAAGATCTAGTCAAAGATTTTTGGAGGACTGGCCTAGATATTTGAGGTGTCCTAAATTTTAACTCTTAAGAAATGCTGACAATAAAATTGGAATCATAGTCTTTTTTACAAGAAAAACGACTAAAAATTACAAGAAGTTGCATAAAATCACAAGAATAAAATGGAATTATAGAAGAATCTGTGGGTCACTGGTGGATACAGAAAAAATGATCAACACAGATTAAAGGAAACAAAAAACAAAATGGTATCTGAACCAATTTAAACAATTAGTGGTCAATTCAAGTTTCAGACTCATGCAAATGTTAAAAAATGTTATCATCAGAGAAACGAATTTCAAAGACTTTAATCTGGAAATGGAAAACAATTTATAATCCTGTTTCTGGTCAATGTAAAAATTACAACGTTAGGTTTAGGTTTAAGACTTTTTAGTGCTGGGTTGCATCTATAATTTGAGTTTTTAAATGTCAGCTGGCAGAAGAAGCTCGCCCCAGGGACTCAGGGACCTCTTGTGGATAACCTACAATTTATCTGTTCTAATTTGAACTGTCAAAGGGCTTGGTAAATTGTTTGAATAAAAAATCCATAAACTATTAAATTAAGCCAAAATGAAAAGAAGTCTGAGCTATGCCAGAGTGCTAAGGAAAGGAAGGAGGGGCGTGGCCTTTTCTGGGTAGAGGAGGGGTCGTTCTAAGCAGAAGAGAATGAAGAAAGCCTGAATATGCTAAGCATATTCCAGGAGCAGCAGGTAAGTGGGTGTGACTGGAGGGAAATGGAACCTCAGGTGATCCGACCGAGGGAGTCACTGCTCGAGCGTCCAGACCCCAGAAGTCTCCACCTTTCCCTTTTTTCCCCCCTCCCTTCTCAGTTGCCCTTTCCCGCTTTCTGCTGACTCCGCCCCACCGGCAGCCTCCTGGCCCCGCCTCCAGAGAGGCTGGAGGCGGAGCCTCGTGTGGTCATCTCTCTGCTCCTTCCGAAGGTGCGCGGAGCTGATGGCGCTGTTTAATTGACGTCACGGTCATTGACAGCGTGAGGCAGCGGCGGCTGCTGCCATGGTGGCTGGCGTCCGGGTGGGGGTCTGAGTGGATCTTCTGCTAGGCCAGAACGCCTTTAGGGGGCGTGACGGAAGGCGAGAGTTTGCAGCCAGGGCGGCAGGTTTGTCGTCTGGAGAGTCGTGAGGCTGAGGAGGGGGTTGAAGACCTAGAAGCCGGACTCCGTGACCTAGATCAGGGGGTGTGTTGGAGGGGAGGCTACGTCAAAGCTGGGTGAGGAACGGGGTAGTCAGGCCCAGGAGGCAGGCGGAAGCCTTAGGGTCCGGATTGGGGTGAGGGAGCTCAGGATCTGGGCAAAGAGCTATCTCCCGGTGTCAATCTAGTCTTGGGGTGGGTGGACCAGGCTCACGAACCTCTCTTCCCCTCCCCACGCCCGCCTGCTCCCGGTGGTTTATGCGGGCTGCAGGTGCAGCATGTCTAGATTGGGGGCCCTGGGCGGCGCCCGCGCCAAGCTGGGACTGTTGCTGGGCACTGCTGCCGGCCTTGGATTCCTGTGCGTCCTCTACAGCCAGCGGTGGAAACGGTCCCAGCGCCATGGCCGGAGCCAGAGCCTGCCCAACGCCTTGGAATACACGCAGACTTCAGAGCCCAGACGCCAGGGTAGGAGTCCATCCCAGAGACCGCGGTCAATGACTGATGAGCCTGGGGTCCAAGCTGCCTTTGGCAAAGCCTGTGAGACAGGGCAACGGCGGGGGTACCTGAGGGTTTCACTTTTTGGGGGAAAGCTTATTGAAAAGGAAAGCACTCTTCGTCTTGTGTATTCTGTCCGCTGTAATCCCAGGAAAATATGTTGCAAAGAGACTGTTTAGCTTTCACTTTTAGTTCTGGCCACTGCAGTGCTATGTGTATATCAGAGACACTTGCTTAGTGTTGGGTGAGGCGTGTAGAGGAAAGTCGAGGAAAAGTCCAAAAGCAGACAAAAGGAATAACTAATCTTGTACGGATTACAAGTCTTGAGGTTTAGTATTAAATTACGTATTAGAATTTGAAGGGAACTCGGAGACTATTTAAAACCCAAGTTTTTAATCCTTATGAGGAAATATAGATTCAACAAGATTGTGTAAGTTTCCCTGGGTTGTCACAGAGTAAGTGGCAAGATTGGGCCTGGTCACCTGGTCCAGTGGACTTTCCACAGCATGGGCTGGGAGCACACTTCATGCAATTGAAGCTGAATGTGGCTGGAAGCCAGCCACAGCTGAAATGGGTAGTGCTTTCAGTTTTGTGAAACTTTCATGTTAACTCGTTTGAGCAAAGTATCTAGGGCTGGTTCAAACCACTTTCTTCATCTTTGTGTAATAGAGGAGTGTTTAGTTCATCTCACCCCATGTCAGTTGGAAATGAGTGTTTTCTTTGGTTACCAATGTCAGATGGCTTCAAAAGTAAGTTTCGGGAGAGTCTTCAAAGAGTTATCACCTAAGACTTCTGAAAGAATAATGGTTACTCTGTTGATTTGTTGCCTAAATGATCTGTCCAATGCTGAGAGGTGTAATCAGGTCCCCCAATATTATCATAGAGCAGATGCTTCTTCTGTCACTCTGAAATGAGCTTTGTGGAGAGAGACATCCTCTTTTCTTTATCTCTGCTGGTGACTCTCCTTGTGTCAATGCACACCAGTGGCTGGCAGATCATCTGTGTGGTGGTTATGGTGTCTACCCATTTTTGCAGCAGCCATGGTTATTGTCGTGACTGTGGTGGGCCACTGACATGGAGGTGATGTTTTTGGCATGCTTCTTGGTGCTGGCGGTGTGCCTGGTTGTGGGGAGTGTCTGGTCAATGGATCCATACCCCGGGCGGGCCCCAAGGCACTGGCAGTGTTAGGGGTTGTGGGTGGGGATCTTGTCTCTGGCTCCAAGCTTCATGTCTCCTGGCGGGCTTCAAGGCACTGGTGGTGTGCCTGGGCTGGAACTAATTTTTGTCCTTTGCTTACTTCTAACATGGGGGAACTTCCTGTGGGAACCAGTACTTGAGCTGTGTTGTTGAGCTAAATTGCTGCTTTGCTGCTGTTTTCCTAGGGAAGGCTTTTTGTACAGCTCGGGGTTTAATGGTTGACCTTATAGGTACTTCCGGCTCTCCAGATACTCGGTGCACCTGGGTTGTGTAGAAACTCTGATCTGGGCCTGAGTTTTTTCATCAAACTGCACCCCATGCAATTCTGCGTTCTTGACCAGTCTCCTCTGAGTGGTCTTGCACTGATTGGGGGATGAGCCAGTTGTCCTTGCTGTGTTCCAGTGTTCTCCCAGTGGGCCTGTCTCCCTCACCGCCCATGCTCTAAACACTTCCCATGGAACAGGCCATGTGCGGGTCCCTTGTGTTGACTCATAGGCCTCTGAATGGCTCCCCTTTTTCAGCTGTTCTGGCTCCTCGCTCCTTGTGGGTCCACAGGAACCCTATTAGTGGTCTTGCTCTCCTGGGGGCCACCAAGGTCCTCTTCTCCCCTGCCGCCTCCAAGCAACTCCATCTGAAGGCCACAGCTGCGGCTTCTGCTGGCTCCTGCTCCTTGCGCTCAGTAGTTTCAGCCTTAAAGCAGCCACGGCCTGAAACACTCAGAGCAGTTTTTTTCTTTCTCTCATTGTGGTTTCTCCTGCCTTCACGAACTCTGTAGGTCTCTCCTCCTCTTCCCCTGAGCTCTAGCGGCCCCAGCTTGGCTGATGTTACATTTTTATAGTTGTAAATTGGTTGATCTGTGGGAGAGAGTGATGCCGCGGCCCATCTATTCTGCCATCTTGACCGGAACTCCTCCTAATGGGGTTTTGATGCGCTTTTTCATGTACCTTTTTTCTTAGTAGTTAACTTCCCCTTTTCTCCTTGCCCCTCTCTAATACTAAATGAACCTCTTGAGAGAAGCTCAGAGTTTTATTTACTATTCTTTGTGAAGTGACAGATAGAATTTGAGTGAGCTCAATTTTAGTTCTGCTGTGTGGTTGGTATTGACTGCTTGGTACTTGGTCCTAAATGGTCAGGTAAAGGTTTTTCTTTTGCATTAGTAGGGCATTGTCCTGCCTCCTAGGTACCACACTCTTTCAGGCATTTTATGTTATCTGCCATGGTGTGCAGCATTGCTGACAGGCCCTGGTGTGGAAGGTTCTTGGAGCAGAGGGCTGTTTTTAGAGATTGGGACCGTAATTTTTTTCTGGGTAGTTACTTGGGACTTGTGACCATAACTTAGCTGGGAATGTATGCTGTCTGAGCCTCAAGGCTCAAGGGTCTTCTCTGTAAATTGAACTTCAATGAGAAGCAAGTGTTCTTGAATTTTAGGTACAAGATCTTTTCCTTACTGTATCCCATGGTGTCACTGTCTCCTGTTCCCTTTCCTACAGTGATGCAGTTGCGGTCCATCCCAGGTGAGGCTGGAGATGCTGCAGTACTGCCCAGCCTTCCACAGGAAGGGCAGGAGAAGGTGCTGGACCGTCTGGACTTTGTGCTAACCACTCTTATGGCATTGCGGCGGGAGGTGGAGGAGCTGAGGAGCAGCCTGCAAGGGCTTGCTGGGGAGATTGTTGGGGAGGTCCGGTGAGTAATGCAGCCTTCTCTCCTGCTTTGTCCCCCACCCTTCAACTTTTCCCTGCTTCTACAGCTTTTCAGCTGAAGTATGTTCTCGCCTTTGCTGAAGAAGCCAGTTGTATAGCTTCTGACCTAATTTGAGGGTAATCTGTCCATTTGGTGCCTCGCCTTGCACAAGCTCCTTGCTACTTCTGGACTATGTTCTCGCCTTTGCTGAAGAAGCCAGTTGTATAGCTTCTGACCTAATTTGAGGGTAATCTATCCATTTGGTGCCTCGCCTTGCACAAGCTCCTTGCTACTTCTGGGCCCTCGTGGTCCGTTGCAGTAACTGAAACTTTGTTCTGTTTAAGCTAGTCTGTCCATGCAGGCTGGGCCCAGGCAGCTGCCCTTCCTTCTTGCTCTCCTGAGGGTAGAGACCCAGGATTTTCTTTGCTCTTGGCCCTTTAATGGGGGGCAGTAGTAAGAGGCTCCCCCATGGTTAGGAGAAAGATAGGCTGGATGGGGTAATGTATCCTCTGGAATGGGGTCTGCTTTCCAGATCCAACATGGAAGAGAACCAGAGAGTGGCTCGGCGGCGAAGGTTCCCATTTCTCCGGGAGAGGAGTGACTCCACTGGCTCCAGCTCTGTCTACTTCACGGCCTCCTCAGGAGCCACGTTCACAGATGCCGAGAGTGAAGGGGGGTGAGTTGTCTCTCCTGGAGGCAGTTATGGCTGCAGCCAGGTTGCATTTTGTAAAAGTATTATCAATGGAAAATTCAAACCAAACTGCTGTAAATAACTTTTGGAACATGGCAAGAGTATAAAAAAATAAAATACAGAGCAGTTGAAACAAAAAACTCCATTCAATTTATGTCATTCAGACATTGCGTGCATCTGTCATTTTCCACTGAGTCGGTTTTTTACATAGTTATTATATATTTTATTAGTTTGGGCATTTTTCTGTGTTATCACTGAGATTTTGTAAGCATGGTTCCATGACTTTGTTCCTTTCCTTGAGTGGCTGAAGCTGGGTATACAGATATCTCTAAGCACAAAGCGTGCTCCCTCTCCCTGGTACACAGCTTTGCCCAAGATCAGGATGTAGAACTCAAGGCTCTTAAAGATAATTTGAAGTTGTACAAACTTCTGGGGTCAGTGAGAGCCAGAGTGGTAAACCCCCAGGCTTGTGGGTGCTTCACTGCTTGGGGTGCTCACTAGGGATCCCAAGGCCACAAGGAGCAGGGCAGGGCTGCCTGCCACTTGTGATGGGGCAAGGGGAAGGGTGGTGTTAATTATAGCTCCAGCAGGCTCAGCCCCATGACAGATCCTGTAGCATGTGAAAGACGGTGGTGGTGCAAGACCCTGGTTTAGCTGGCTGCTATCTGGGGCAGTGGCCATGTGAATAATTCTTTTTCCCATGGCCAGTGCCATATAGGTCAAGGGGGAATTCTAGGAGGAGTTCACAAACTCTGAAATGGTTTTGAACATGTGGGCCTTGGGGAAGGAGAGCTTCTTTGAGGGATGAAGGGATAAGATTTGATAGGCTGCTGTATTCCACTGAAAGCTGTATTCCCTCTTTCTTCCAAATAAAATAACATTGAGCTCCCAGGAGATTGACTGAATATGGCAGAGGCAGAATCATTGTTCAGGTCCGTGATCTCATTCCTTGGGCATTGTACAAACACAGCTGAGTTCTCTCCCTGTCAAAACCCAGCAAGCCTTCCCAGGCATCCCAGCCAAAAGGGATTGCCTGTAACCTCATCTTCATCTTCACTCCTTCTTGGGCATTTGTCATCTCATTTAGGTTGGGTCTTATCTCCCCCACCAGGAGAGACTGTCAGGGTCAGGGCCCATGCCTGGACTTCTTTGAATGCTTCACACTCAGCCCCTCTAATGGGGTTTAGGAAGAGTTGGAAAAAACTTAATTGCCAGAAGGAGGGCGTGTGTGTGTAACTGAGACAAAAGGGCTATCCCTCTCTCTGGTGGATTTCTTCAAGGGCTGGGTTGGTAATCTGGGAAGTAGAAGGTGTGAGACAATGGTATAAATGTAGTAGCTCTGGCACGTGATATATCTCTTCTCAGGCCCCAGAAGCCTATGGGGCTGATGCCAGGCAGTGGGTGAGGCAGAGCTCCTTGCAGTGGGGCTGACTTGTAACTGAAGTCCTCATCATGCCAGCCTTGCAGGAGCCTCTCTGCCTCACAGGGCCCTAGTTCTCACTCTGTGGGTGGAAGCAAGGCCCTTCCTGATCTCTGCTTCTCCCTGGCTATGTGAACTCTTGCCTCTAGGACCCAGAGGGATGGCAGCATTGCAGGACTTTCTTCTGGCTTAGGTCCCAGGGGAGACTGTGCTGATGCTTGTGCTCTAGCAGGTATAACAGCAGTAGTTCCTCCCTGAGAGTACTGGGCAGCTGACCGGTATGGGGATCTGAACCCGTGACTTTGTTATAAGGCTGTGCTCTAACCAACTGAGCTAACCAGCCAGGCTGAGACTCTTGTTTTCGCCCTCGATTGGCCGAGGTAGCCCTTGACTCAGCAGGGAACAGGGTCTCCCTCTCTTTCTAACAAAGGGAGATGATGAGACTTAAGCTCTTCACTCCAGATAAATCATTTCCCCATTTTGCCTTTGGGCTGGCTGGGCAGAGTAGATGCTGGTTTGATTTTCTCATTTGGGGCAGGTTATTGTCTAAGCCTTAGAGTTAGGTTGGGAGTTTCTCTAGGTTGCCCATGTGGTCTTGCTCATTACTACCCAGGTCAGTTGTGAATTCTGATGCCATGTTTCTTTGTCCCTTTGTTTTTTCTACTTTTTATTTTTTGGCAGCTGGCCTGTAGGGGGATCTGCACCTGTGATCTTGGTGTTATAAGGCTGTGTTTTAACCAACTGAGCTAACCGGCCAGTCCCCTTCTCCCTTTAATTTCTAAAGTTTTTACTGTAAGGGCCGGCCCATGGCTCACTTGGGAGAGTGCGGTGCTGATAACACCAAGGCCACGGGTTCGGATCCCTATATAGGAATGGCCGGTTAGCTCACTTGGGAGAGCGTGGTACTGACAACACCAAGCCAAGGGTTAAGATCCCCTTACTGGCCATCTTTAAAAAAGAAAAAAAAAAAGTTTTTACTGTAAATTCCTAGAGGGGAAAGATACTTGGATAACCTCTTAAAAAGCAATGTGAGGTTAGGAAGATTTTACATATATTAAAAGTTCTTGTAGTAGATGTTCCTGGGGCTCCTTTTTAAGATGAGACCAGAAGCTCCTCTCTAAAGAAGCAATCAGCATGCACTGGGCACCAGATCTTGTATGTACTCAGCAGTGGGACTGCTGGATCGTATGGCAGTTCTGTAGTTGTTTGAGGAAACTGTACCATTTTCCATAATGGCTGCACTAATTTAAGTCCTACCAGCAGCATAGGAGGGTTCCCTTCTCCTCATCCTTGCCACCATTTGTTATTGTCTTTTTTATAATAGCCATTCTAACTGGGGTAAGATGATATCTCAGTGTAGTTTTGATTTGCATTTCCCTGATGCTGAGTAATGTTGAGCATTTCTTCATGTGTCTGTTGGCCATTTATATATCTTCCTTTGAGAAATGCCTTTTGGGTACCAGGTCTTGTTGCTTACTTGGTACTTTCCAGTGCTTGCCCCCTTGTTGTCTCTGGTTTTCTGAATGAGAAAGACAGCACTTCTGCCTACCACATTCAGTGCCTGACTTCAGGCTGTCATATATTGACTTTATTTGTGTCTCCTTCATTTCTCCTTTAGTTGTTTTGCTCCAGCCATAGGAGCCTACCTTATCTTTCATTCCAGATGGAGGAAAGTTTATCCCTGAATGACCCTAAGACCTCCCTTGTGCTTCAGGACTTTCTGGCTCTGACACACTCTGCATTTTCTTCACTCAGTCTGGAGAGCTCTCTGGTGTCTGCTTCTGGCCCCTGGAAATCCTATCTTTTCCCCTGCTCAGTGTTTGTCTGATTTAGTTGGCAGTTAGAGAAAAACACCCTAATCTGCTGCTGGTGGAGGTCAAAATCCAAGAGAAACTTGGCTCCCTCTTTAGAGAGTGCATCAGGGTTTGGACTCCCTAGGAACTACCTGGCCATGGTAGCTCAAGAGACACCTTCCCAGGGGGTTGTTTGCATGTTCTTCCTCTCCTGCTTCTAGCCACAAAGCTGCTCCTACCCCACCCCCGTCCTTTCAAGGTTCCCAAGGGATACTCCTGTTGTAATTTAGGTTTGGTTGTTGCCTTGGGTCAGACGTACAAGTTTGAGAGAGAAAATATGGATATGTGTGGCTGCCCATGGCCTCCAAGGCTCTGGTACCCACCCATGTTGGTTCTGGCAGGTGCCTTTGGCTGATAAAGTGAAAACAATTGACAAATCCTTAGCGTGGTAATCATTCTACTTCAGGAGATCAGCCCCCCCTATATTTTAAGGTTTTTTTTTTTTTTTTTTTTGTCTTTTGTCTTTTGTCTTTTTCCGTGTCCGGCAACGGATCGCAACCCTCAGTGTTGCCCCCGTACCGGACCGGGGACCGGCAACGGGATTGCAACCCTCGGTGTCGCTCCCGCGCCTCGCTCAGCCAGTGAGCGGGAACCGGTCTGTATGTGGGATCCGAACCCTCGGGCGGGTGCGCCGCTGCGCTTCCCAAGCGGCGCACTTATTTTGTGCGCCCCCGGGGCGG